CACTACCAGGGCCAGGGAAATATCATCTGTGGGGATTTGAATGCTCGGACTGGTACACTTTCTGAAATCATTAATAGTCAAGGAGACAGTTTTATAATCCAACAAGCTCCTACTGACCACCTCCACCTGCCTCCTAGAAACAACTTTGACCGGGCGATCAACAGGAACGGGAAGGAGCTGTTACAGCTGTGCAGGAGCCTCGGTCTGTACATCGTCAACGGGCGGATAAGAGGCGACTCTTTGGAAAGGTTCACTTATTGTTCAACTCTTGGCAACAGCACTTTAGATTATATGATCACAGACATGGACCCCCTCTCTTTCAGTGCATTCACAGTCAAGCCCCAGACCCCTCTATCAGACCACAACCAAATCACCCTGTTCCTCAAACAGAACAATATGACACAGACCAAACCCAGCCAACTGTTCAACATCCCCAGGACGTATAGATGGAGCCCCGACAGCACTGAGCAATACCAAGAGGCAAGCAATGGTGAAGAGATCCAATCATTAGTACAAGACTTTATAGATTACCCCTACCCCCCACTACTGAAGGCATATGTAAGGCTGTCCAAAATATGAGTTTTATCTTTGAAAGAACTGCAAAAAAAGCTGAACTGAAAGTACGAACAAACAAAAGGAAAACAACCAAGAAGAACCAGTGGTTTGACAAAGAGTGTCAAAATCTGAGAAAAGAAGTCAGAAAATTATCAAACCTTAAACACAGAGAACCTTCAAACAATCAACTACGCCTTCAGTACTTTGAAACACTTCAAACTTTTAAAAATACAATCAGAAACAAAAAGATCCACCATACACAGAAACAATTAGAGAGAGTTGAAGAGAGCATCGAGTCGAACTCTTTCTGGGACCAATGGAAGTCTGTCTGTCAGTCTGAGCCTGAAGAGCTGGTCATACAGGACGGAGACATATGGACTGAACATTTCCAGTCCTTATTTGGACCTAAACCACCAGGAACTGACTCTGAAACCATTCACATACTAGAAAAACTACAAAATATGGAACTGGTCATCAAACACTACCAAAACCCCCTAGATCTCCCCGTTAATTTAAACCACCTGAAAACTAAATTAAAGACTCTCAAAAACAAAAAAGCATGTGGCCCTGATGGCATACTTAACGAAATGCTAAAATACAGCACAGAAAAATTCCAATTATTATTCTAAAATTATTCAATTTAAAGTGGTTATATTATGCTTTAGTGTGTTTTCCATGTGTCCTGTGCATGTTTAGGCACATCTATGTGCAAAAGTTCGCATAAACGCAGCTTCTCCTACGTCTTCTGCAGCTGCAGCATTAGCTGCATGTAACGCTCGGTTTTACCCCCCCTCGGAAAAAAATTGCCAGTGTGACGTCTTGTCAGCGTGATATCACTGATCTAAGCCCATTGGCTCGTTGTGGCATGCCCAGCAGCTCATGTTGCAGGCCCATTAACTTCTGTAGCACGCCCATGATATGCCGTAGCCTGTGGTAGCATAGTAGTGCTAAGGTGCTAGTGTTTTTGCTCCCCTCGGAGCCAAAGTGGCTGCATTCCCAATATGGTAAAAGGGGCGAGACATTTCCAAGAACCGTGCTGAGAGTCTGACCAATTACGGCAGAGCCGACAGGCCGAACAATCAGACCAGACTTGGCACACGTGGGGACTCTGAACGTGGGCACTTCAGAGTCTCAGAGAGAGAGTCAGAAGCGAGCTGGTGCATGGAGCGGCAGTACATGAAAACAAACTTTAGCTATTGTGAACATACTTTAGTAGGTACATAGATTAAATACACGAACTCCAAAAAGGGCAAAATATGGGCTCTTTAATTCTGAGTGTGGGATATTTCCCCGAGAGTTGGAGTCAAGGTCTTATTACACCAATATTTAAAAGTGGTGACAAAAGTGACCCTCAGAACTACAGAGGGATTATGTGTCACCAGCTGTTTGGGCAAAGTGCTCTGCAGCATCATACCCTCCCGGATGGTTGACTTCTTAAAAGAACACAACGTCCTGCATAAAAGTCGTATTGGATTCATGCCTCACCATCGCACATCAGATAATATCTTCACCCTCAGCACTCTCATTAACCACCATGTACACCAAAGGAAAAATAAAATGTATGCTTGTTTTGTAGACTTCAGGAAGGCATTTGACTCCATTTGGCATGAAGGACTCTTTTACAGATTACTAGAAAGTGGCATAGGGGGGAAAACCTATGATTTAATTAAAACCATGTATGTAAATAACAGATGTGCAATTAAAATTGGAAACAAAAGAACAAATTATTTCAGGCAGTACCGTGGGGTGAACAGGGCTGCAACATGAGTCCAACCCTCTTGCTATCATATAACATATATATTAACACATTCACAGAAGAACTGCAGAAGTCCACAGCTCCTGGTGTGACCCTGCAGGACACAGAGGTCAAATACAAACAATACAAATATTTAGGCTTAGTCATCACTCCCACTGGACATGTTGGCATGGCTGTGAATGAGCTGAAAGAGAGAGGAAGAAGGACTTTTTATGCCATCAAAAGAAAAATTCAGATTGACATTCCAATTAGGACCTGGCTCAAAATTCTCAATTCAATAATAGACCCAATCATTTTGTATGGTAGTGAAGTATGGGGCCCATTAACCAACCAAGACTTCCCCAAATGGGAAAAACACCCGCTGGAAGCCCTGCATGCAGAACTGTGTAGAAACATCCTGAGAGTCCACAGACACACGGCCAGTAATGCATGCAGGGCAGAACTCGGCCAATACCCTTTAATCATTAACATCACATTCTATAAATGTCCAGCTGATCCTGAAGCTCCGCCCTCAAACACCAGCGCTTCAGGACACACCCCAAACAATCTGGCCCAACCAAATTATGTCAAAACAAAAAGACAATTATATCAAATATTGGAAGGAAAGCACCAAATCACAAAGTAAATTAGAATTCTATTTGAGCCTAAACAGAGAGTACAAGCTGGCAGAGTAGCTGAGCACAGTGAGGCATGTGAAACTAAGGAAAACCATGACGATGTACAGACTGAGTGAACACAGTCTGACCATAGAAACAGGCCGTCACAGACAGAACTGGTTACCCAGAGAGGCCAGGCTGTGTTCACTCTGCCATCAGAATCTCACTTCCTCCTACACTGTGACATGTATAAAGATTTAAGAGAGACTCTCTTTGATTACATTTATCATAAATATCCTGACTTTCTCCATCTCCCTGATCCTCAGAAGCTGCTATATCTCTGTGGAGAGAAAAGTCTGTGTGCAGTACGAGCTGCTAAATATGTTTATGATTGTCACAAACTGAGACAAAATACACTTAATGTTTCATAGAAATACACTGTAAAAATAATTCATGTTATTGTTAATGTCTTTTATTCATATTTGTTGTATTTGTTTACTGTATATATTGTAATCATTTGTTGATCAAAATGTTTTCTCTACTGCTTTGGCAACATAGATTGTTGATCTGTCAAGCCAATAAAGCTCATTTGAATTGAATTGAATTGAGAGAGAGAGAGTGAGAGAGAGAGGGAGAGAGAGGGGGAGAGAGAGGGTGGAGGGATGAAACACAACATCTAACAACCCCTGCTGCCCTCTTTCCCTTCTGTATGTTAACTTGTACAAAAATGAAATGAAACCCCCGCAAAAGGCCTTCACAGCTGCACAGTAGAATTGATCTGCAGCAGTGTCTGTATGGAGGTTGTGCCAATTTAAACATCTGGATCTGTGCAAACTTTGAGGTGCAGTTGTGCTTATGTCAGAGAACTATCAAAACTCTGATAGTTGAATGATCCAGGACAAAAAATGTATCAGTTGCTTTGATTGCATTAAATGAGGCGATACACTGTCACATAGTAATCGAATCTTTTATCTTAAGATTCTGTATACATATATAAATGATACAACTGTTATTGTATCTTAAACATAAAATGATCATACTAAAACTTTGATTGTCGATAGAACCTAATATTCATCTGAACATTCTTAATACTACACTAAGTAAAAACCCTGGTGCTGATTTTTACTTTTCTCTAGTAGAACTTGTCATTAGAAAGTAACTAAGCTTCCCAAATTGTTGAATCATTCCTTGAAACATTGAAATGATTGTTAGCTAAAGTTAATACTGTAATGCCCCCCTATGAAATCTGATTGGCTACCCCAGGTGCCACCTCAAAAACACATCTAACTATGGATAACACTTGTCGTTCATAATATCAAAATGGAGCCGTTTTAAAAACAAAATCTCACTGTATTCACCATACAGTGTTCTACTGTAAAAACAGGCTTTTGGCTGTGGTGTGTATGTGACCTCCGGGCTCCTGGAGCCAGCCTCAAGTGGACACTCGAGGAACTGCAGGATTTTGCCCTTCCGTATTGACTTCATTTTTCAAGACCGGAGGTTATTGCTTGGTTGGTCAAACTTCAGGCCCCGCCTACATGAGTCAGTGCCACAGTTGTCTGGTCACGTCTCTGTTTGTACCAGAGGACATTTGACATCTAACCAACTTTGTTTAATGCACTAACAAACCTGAATTGTGTCATCTTGACAACAATCAAAATGGAGAAATTCCTTTTGGTTGTTCATTTCCAATGCCACACCAAGTACGTCTGTGATGCTGAATGATGTTGCAGAGCTGTTTATTTACTTACAATAACATTAATGCTCTCAGGACCCTTCTGGCTGTTCACTCACAACAGAAGTATCAAACCCTGTGTTTACGAGGTGCTTGTACTATGAGGATAGTAATAAATAAAACATTTTGAATTAATATAACACAAGTTTTTTGCATCAAAAACTTTAGAACTTTAGATAAAATGTTGTTTTCATTACGCTGAGGCCAGTCTAAATAATGTGAAGTGATTTATGAATTCACTTCAAACAACCATAATTCATTTTACATGAATTACTTTGTATTAGTCACAGCTGACTACACATACAGTTCTGAATAAGGTAATGTTTATAGAGGCATAAAGAAAGACATCTTAAATGTATCTTTATCAACTGACATGTTTACTCATGTAATCACATTAGTGCAGCCTAAATAAAAAAATGGAGTAAAAACCAGACATCAAATTCAGCACATACTAAAAGTGATTTCCATTGACACATTTTGAAATGAAACACTTTTGGGATACAGATTCCCAATCTATTGAAGGGCAAACTCACACACAGATACAGAAGAGTCATTTATTACTCCATTAGAAGAAATACAAAGATGGCAGAGAAACTGCAATCACATAAGTCCTCTGAAAATGTAGAAATGAATGCTGCTTGCACCAGGACAATCCCCACATCAGCGTACTTTTGTGACTGTTGACTTAATGTGCCTTAATTATACCTGGCAGGGTTTAAATTTCTAGATTCACACGTAAGGCTCACTTTGCTACACCAGGGCTTTTAGTAAACAGGAGAGACTTAGAGAGTATTCCTCAAAGCAGGATTAACAAGCTCAGCATGTTTATAATCTTAACCTGTGTAGATGTTCTGTGGTTTAAACACAATCCCCGTTAGTCATGTCTAACATCCACTACGTGAAACTGTTTAGGTATCAGGATATTACACTACATCAACACATAAATAAGACAGTGAAACATTGCATGTTTACATACCAATTCACAATTTGATAATTTCCCTAATTTTGCTTTTGAAGTTGGATAAAAAGGTTCATATGGCTCTCTGTGGATTAGAAGAGCAGTGTAGGATTTAGAGGCACCTAGTGGTGAAGTTATAGTTTGCAGCTAACAGCTAACCACGTCCCCTGTCTGTGGTGGCTGCAAAACTACTACAATGTTAAAGGCCATGTTACAATACATTTCCACTCCCTGCTTGTTCTAACAAATGATCACTTTTTAATTTGATATACCTATTAAATAACTGAGTATGTTATGCTAGGTCTCCTGAAAACTCTTGCCTATGGACCCATTGCTCTTAATTGCTTGACCTTTAAATATAAAGCTTCAGCAAGGAGAGGATCATCCAAGCTTTGCCTTTTTTCTTTTTCTAATTAAAGAAAGCTAGCCAGGCTGTGTCCAAAACCAACTATCAGAACCTCATTAGATTTCTTTATGTGCTATTTATCTTGTTCCTTTGAACTAATATTGTCCTTTATGCTGTTAATTTTTTGTACTTAATAAACAAATTACATATTCCATGTCAACTATTGACATTTTGACTGCTCCCCTCTTGCCAAGCAAACAATCTAGTGAATGAAGCATCAAACTGAAGGGAGCAATATGACAGTGTTTCTTATCTTTTACACATTTTTTCATCCAAGCATATTTCCAGAATCACCAAACAACTCCCTTGAATTGCTGCCTTTTAACTCTTTTGCTGTGTAAGAATTCAAGAAGCTGCTGGTGGATGATTTGTAAACTTAGAATGCAGGTTCATTTTTTAGCCTTCTATTATGCTCCACATTTTAAATGTTTGTTTTGAGTGGCTAGTTGTCACTGTTGTGAGACTTGTTGACCCAGTTTCTAGGAATGCTCCCTTGGTCTCTAGACTTGCTAGTTCTTTTCATTCATCTCTGGGATATATTTAATAAAGTCTAATTAGGTTAGCAGAGGCTGAGAGAAAAGAAGCGAAGCACGGCATGCTAGTTGGATTTGCCCTGAGCTCCACACACCACAGACAACGACTAACCAGCTGGTAGACTTTCTGGTCGACATCAACCAGAGGTCAAAACAGGCCTGATTTCAAGCCCAACCACTAAGCAAAGCCAGAACCTAATAAATACTTTCAGATTTCCTTCAGAGGATATAGATTTCGCTAAAAAAAGTGATCTGTGTTTCATGTAAGACACATTCAAGTACTTCCATTTCATTTGAGGAACCGATATTTAATTCAAAGAACAATGAGAGCTTGAGCTCTAGGAGTGGGGCCTCTTGTGTGTCTGTGTGTCTGTGTGTGTGTGCGTGTGTGTGTGTGTGTTTCTGTGTTTCTGTGTGAATGTGTGTGTGTGTGTGTCTGAGACCCAGGTGTGCTGGGTCGTCTGTGTCTGTGAAGTCCAGTCCTTGGTGTAGCTCTAGCCTACATTTGGCTGAGGAAATGAGCTCGGCCGTTTTCCTCCATGCGGCGGGTGAGGATCTCACAGCCGGTCTCCGTCACTAGCAGGGTGTGTTCGAACTGAGCTGACCGCTTCCCGTCTCTGGTCACCGCTGTCCATCCGTCAGGCCACGTCTCATCTTGCCAGCCACCTGAGACATCAAACACAAATACATTTGAAGCTTTGGCTTACACACCACCAATTATCCATTGAACACCGTGTGAGGCAGTGAACCCAAAGCTTTGTGAAATACTGTGAGAAGAGTTCCCATAGTTTTGGCTCAATTATTCTTTATTTGACAAACTTGGTACAAGACAGAAAATTTTCTCTGTCTAGTCCTTTTATCTCCAAATTTGGTCAGATAGAGTGAAAAGATTAAATCTTCCTTTATAGATAGATAAGCCATTCATTAACCCAAAGGTTAAGAGGAACATTTAGAGAAATGTGAAAAAACTGTATCGGCTCATGTATAGTTTAAATAGTTAATTTTTCTCAATTATCTCTTGTCATTTGGATTTGATTTTGATATCCTTTATGATCCCTGAGGGAAATTCAGTTTTACACTGTTATTTATAGGGACATGTATCTCACACGCAAAGGCCCGAATCACACACCTGCACAAACAGGACCTGTGGGTGTTCTAATGCTAGTATATTAGCACCCTCTAGCAAATCAACACATTCTGTTTCATTTAATGTCCAATAACTAAAGCTGACACATCATACAACAAGACAAAGTTACAGAAGATAATTAGACACTAACTTTATGAACATCCATTGTGAGTAACCCGGTTAGCTCTAAAAACCAGATTCAAAACTGCTCTTTGTGATGCTTTTATTTTGCTTTTCTTATTGCCTTATGCCTCAGTCTCTTTATTTCCGGTCTTCATATAAAATGTGCTTTTATTTAGAAAAACTGCAAAGGGGACTTCCGCTACATCGTAAAGTTACGGGAGTAAATAAATACAGCTAAAAGAACAACCAAGAGGAGAAAATGTTACACTTAAGTTGTTTTTTTGAGGTGAATTTATCTTAAAAACATCTGTTTGGGTGACTAACTCTCTTTCAGAAGGATGCTACATGGCAGATACATGCATGTATCCATTTGTTAGCTCTGAGCTCTGACTCAGCCCGTGATGAGTGACAGGAGGATTAAATGCACGTAACTTTACCGTGCTTCAACCAAACTTGGCTTAATTGTCACTTAATAAATCTTACTTGACCAATACTTGACCAATTCATCAATGACTCCACTGGTAAAAAGTGTGGGGGATGGAAATACATTTCAGTCAAAGTGTGGGTGTCGCAACACCCACAACACCCACAGTTGAGAGACGCATTAATGAAGAGAAATCAGAGTTGGTCTGCTATAAGCTGCTAAGCAGGGAGCACACCAGAGCACTGCCCTGGCACCTCTCCAGCTACCAGACCAACTTCCAGATTGGGTCCGCAACGGGACTTGAACTGGTGACCCTCTGGTTCCCAACCCAAGTCCCTACAGACTGAGCTACTGCCGCCCCCTTTGACTTATAGAATTGTTCCAGGTTAGTATCAATAACTATCCTTTATAGTGTTTACATCCAGAGACAGTTACACTCACCTTCACATATCATGGGCTCAATGGTGAACACATGGCCAGGCTTCATGACTCCAACTGCTTTGTTTTCTGAGAAATCAATAAAGGAATCATTCTCTCGTCACAGTCTGTAAAGACACTTTGAAACATGTTCATCAGCAGGATGGCACTACTCACTGGCATAATGTGGCACATTTGGAGCAGTGTGGAAAAGTCTGTGGATGCCGTGGCCGCAGTAGCTGCGCACCACAGAGTAGCCATTGGCCTGAGCGTGTTTTTGAATGATGTTTCCTAATTCTCTGTAGCGAATACCAGGCTTCACTGTAAGAAGAGAAAAGCACATGAGTAAGCATACATGTGTTTTATATTGAGTCTATTCAATGACTGGAGACAACATGGGACAGTCTCTGTGACATTAACCACTGGTTTCTCAAACTGACTTTTAAAGCCACATAATGGTGCTCTCCATGTTGGAAATGTTGTCTCAAACTTACTTTTTGATCAACCTAGCAACAGGCAAAGACGATGAGCTGAGGCAGTAAGCATAACTACTATACATAACTCTACAGACGCTACTGATACTAAAATAATCTAGAAGCAGGCTGTTTACATGTTAATTTCTTCTTTCAAAAAGGGCATTTTAATGAACGTGGCTGTTTAGAGGACTTCTGAGGATTTTGCAGCCAGCCTCTAGTGGACAACTCGAGGGACTACCCTTTTAAACACTGCCGCTTTGGCTTCATTTTTCAACGCAGGAGGTTGCCGCTTGAGTCTATCTACGAGTTTAAAAATGGATTTATAGTGTGTGTAAGTTTTTCACAACCTTACCAAACAGTTTTACAAAGATGTTTAACCTCAGCTATCTAAGACTAGAGGCATCTTTATTCTATTCTAGTTATTAAAAGTTAAGATAGGTTCGGTTTCAAGGGTCAAGAGCAAAGGTCAAAATAAATGCTAATACGGATATCTGACATTCACTCCTAGCCTAATAGAGATATCCTGTTGGCTTGACTAAATTGAAATTACATAACTTCCACCTCCATGGAAATGTAGTGTTCTCTAAGCACACAAAAATACAAATTAAAATCGAGGTGGAGTTCTTACCGGAGTCGATGGATTGCATAAGGCATTCATATGTAGTCAGAACCAGTTTCTTTGCTTCTTCCTCCACGTCCCCAACAAAGAAGGTTTCATTGAGGTCCCCATGGAAACCATTGTGGTATATAGTGATGTCCACTTTGAAAGAGTAAGAAAAATATATCAGTTAGATTACATACAACACTCTTGCAATCAAATCAACAGAAGAACTATTTGTGAGTAATCTAAAAATGTGTATTGTTTCATAAAAATCTATGTTAACTTTGTACACATCCTGGCATTTAAAGGTTAAATTCCTGATAATTATTCAATATTTGATCGTTTTGAGCAGGGCTGGAGTCTTTTAAGAGATTTATGCAAAAAAAAAAAAGAAAAGTAGAAAAAAATATCAGTCTGTTTATTTTTAAAGCAGCTTTTGTAAATTGGACATTTTTGTCCTCCAATGTCCAAACAGGGAACTACATTTTAAATCTGATGCTACACAAAAACTAACAATGCATCAAAGTCAATATTTTGGATAATCTTTGACATATCCAAGACTGATTTAAAAAAAAGGAAAAAAATCCCCCAGTCACCAAATATTTGTTTTATGGAAAATAACAAACTTGGGTGTGTTTTTTTTTCAAAAATAACAACAGTGACATCAACTAATCAAACTGGCATTTAAAGGGTTAAATTCCTAAAAGATATTGAATGTTTGACAGTTTTGAGCAGGGCTGAAGTTGTTTAAGAGATTTATGCAAGTAGAAAAAAATATAATTCTGTTTTATTTTTATAGCAGTTTTTGGTAAGTGGACATGTTTGTCCTTAGTGACTTAAGAGGGTAGTAAACATGTTTCACAGTGTTCTATTGATCTATTAAAAAAAATACAATGTGCATTCCAAAATGTGTCAAGAGAGAGACTTTCTTACAAAAAATGTGTGCCATATCCACTAACACATAAAATGATGGACAGCTGAAGAGGAAACATTTGACCAAATGGACAAAAATGTCCATAGTGATGCATAAGGGTTAAGTCCAAAGAAAATAAGGAGTTAAAAATACTGCTGATAAACTCAGAATTGAAGGTTGGTGAACTGAGATTTTTCAGACTTAAGGAGAAATAAAGAGAGTCAAGACTTTGACTAGCAATTCCCTGCTGTTAGAGGCTAATGAAACAATTTGTCTTGAAGGACCATGCAGTGAGAGATGAGTTGTTAGAAAGAAGTCCATCAGACACTCTGAGGGGAGTGGCGGATGGAAGGCATCGCTTGAGCAGGAATATTCATAAAGAGGCTAAAATTGGCCAAACTCCTGCTGATGCCATTTGAGGATGCTGGTACAACCATTTGTCATGGAGTACAAATCTTCTCTTCCCCCTTGCCCTTAAATAAAACATTGCCCCACATCCAAACTTTACCATTCCTAAAACTTGGTTTGACATTGAGAATACAACAGTGGCTACATAACTTGTGTTTGAAAAGTGTTGTTTTAAAGAAAGATCACAATCTGGTACTTCATCATTTAGTATTGGTCACACATTAAATATGTAAAAACGACCCACAATCATGTCATGTGTGGTGCAACAAGCATACCATTGAGGATGTCCCCGTCTTGTAGTTCTCTTCTGTCGGGGATGCCGTGGCAGATGACTTCATTGACAGATGTGCAGCAGGACTTGGGGAAGTTGTAGTAGTTGAGAGGTGAAGGGTAGCAGTTTCTTGCTGTACAAGCCTGGAAATAAAAAGACAGTGACACCACAAGCATTGAAGACGATTAATAGGCTGTATGTAATGAAGATGACGGATCCCTCTGTACACATTTATTCTACAGTAATATAATATCCTGTGTGTTGAATGTTTCAGATAATACAGAAATTAAAGTGCTGTACAATATTCATAAAGCTGGCTTTAAATAACATCTGTTGGATTAACTACTAAATGTTTCTATTGGTATTGAAACATATTTAATCATGCAAAATGTTTGTGGGTATGACGTTTATCATTTTCATCATCTGAAGTTTTCATGTTAGCAGCATAACGTGAAATACTTTGCGCTACATGGTAGCCAATCTCAGAAGTTTCCAAAATTTGGTAACGAGCACAGGACAGCTCTAAATTCACAACAGGGAAAAATATTGTGTTTGTATAAGGACTACAATAAATCAGCACACAAGTCGCAATCTGTTTTTTGGGTGGAGGTCTCCCAGAGGGAAATAAAGTGTTCAACTTTCTTCCAGCATGACGATTTCCACTTTCAGCAAAGTTCACGTTCCAAGTTTTTTTCTGCACAAGGTTTATTTTCTAAACAGAATACAACCATTTTCTAAATCATTATGACCTAATGATGGAGAAAAAATACACCACCAGCCTGCTCCGCCTTGCTATGTTCTGTATTTGAGCACATTTTGTGCACGCTACATGCCCACAGGTGCACAAAGCATGGGTAATCTGTACAGCGCAGGGCAGAAAAGCATCCACTTCCAATACGCAGTGAATGGGGGCATGTTGAAATGAATCGGGTAACGAGTGACGGCCATATTTGTGGTCCTTACAACACGTCCCAGCATTTTATATAAGAATAGGTATTAAAAGTGCTTCTTATACACCAAATGTTACTGCACGTTGTGCAAAACTGGACAAATCCACCCCCGCCTTTATAACTGGCTTGTGTTGAGTTTTACCAGATGCACAGCGTGGTCGATTTCTTCTGTTGTAACACCTGGTTTCACCATCAATGCTGCAATGTCCAGGACTTCTCGTGCCAGCTGCAAAAAAAACACGTCAATACAGGAATGCATCAAATAGAAAAACTACTTTGGGAACACCTTAACAGCAGCAACAGTCAATTCTTACCTCACACACTACTCTCATCCCCTCAATGTCTTCAGGAGAAAGGACCTTGATTTGTGAAGTCCCCTTCAGAAACTGCTCAGACTCAGATATCCCTGTGGGAGGGAAACGGAGACAGACAACTGTCATCATTCATACGCAGGAAACAAATGAAGCTGATGAGCTGACTGTCCTAGGTCTATCAATTCTTAGACACGGCTTGGACCATCACAGCTGGATTTAAACACTAAGAAGAAACAAGACTTTTTCATCTTGACTATCATCTTGCAATAACACATTAACTTGAGCAATTTTAACCAGAATACTTTGCATTTTCTAAAAAGCGTACATAAAAGCAGGTATCACAGTTAGCATTGACACGTCACAAAATGGGAAAAAAATATTTTGATATGAAATTCTTCAACTTAAAACTTCAATATCTAAAAAACAAACATGAGCAGATATCTTAGTTCAATCTTATAATGGGTAAATGAGCTGCTCCTACATGGAATAAACTACAGAATAAGCATCTGAGCGGAGGCAGACTCTAGTGACACTCACACTGTTGAATCATGAGGAACAAAGGAGATCTGTTTCGGTTAGATGAAGAACAGAGGCACAGGTGTCACTGCATTTAGCTAAGCAACAGAATAGACATCCTGTAATTAAACTACAGATTTAACAAGATCACAACATTATTTTTAGACTACAAAAATAGATCTTAAATACATGTTGGTCAAAGCCCCTGTGTCATCAACAATTTACTGATCTATAATTTATCATCTCAAGAACAGGACTACTGAATGAACATGGACAGTTGCCTAGCAACACAGACGGTAAGGATTGTGTACACGTCAAAGACAGCCTTCCTTAAGACCTGAGGAGCCTCCAGTGTGACTGAGATAATCAATTTAACATATTCATATATTGATACCACTGCTCAGAAAAGAAGCAATGTCTGAGAAAAGATAGTAGGTGTCCATTAAATGCCTTCATAACTGTAGTGTCCTTTTCCTAATGGACTTTAGAGTGATGATTATCACTATTGAATATGTTATATAAAGATGCTCTGGATTTCACTTCAGCTTTATTACATTCCTAAAATAAGAAGTATATTAGCCTGTAAAATGTGTGCTTCTGTCCCTGGGAAGGCATCACTGGAGAATAAAAGGAGACTGTAACCATGACTACCTGAGCATGGATCTATGCAGTCAGATGACAAGGATGTAGAGGTTGCCATGGTTGCATGTGGAATGACTTGCCCAGAGATAAAGATGTAAATATGCCAGGTCACATATTATAGGTATAATGTTATAAGGCGGATGACAACACAAATTCAACTCTGCTGCATTGATGTGAAATGTTAAATCTGAGAAATGTAATTGTTTTGAGAAAACTTTGTCCATTTTGAATTTATCACAAATTTTAAAAAGATGGTCTAGACTTGCTCTTTTTGTAACAAAAAGTCAAAAATAAAACAACATTTGATATGAATTGGAACTACACTAATAAAGGTTGATTATTTATAAGAGGTGGAAGGTAGGGTGAGACACATTTTGTATAAGAAAGACATTTTGAAATTCCACTAAAATGTGGAATAGATTTATTAACATCACATGATTTTTTTATATTTATCATAACAAAACTCATAAAGCTAGTTCTTAACATTATGCCGATGTCTAACTGGATTTAGGACAAGGGTGGCAATTGATTTCAGATCACAGGTAGGAGTATCAATTCAAGTTTTCAGCAAAACAGCAAAAAACACGACATGACACATGATACACATGACAATGTAATTCTTGGGGACAGAAAAACAAACAGAATACTGACCAACACTACAGTGTGAATGTCACAGGGCAACATTGCCAGTGGAATAATGTAGGAATAATGTTTTATCTGTATAGTTGTGGATTTTATGTAAGACAAAGCGTCTGCCATTTCATAAAAGCTCTATTCAAATATTTGTAATACATTTTCCAGTTTCACAAACACTAGATCTTTTTGGAAAATGAGCCACCAAGATCAAGCCTTTTTGTTTTATTAAAGAAAGTAGCATGGTTACCTCTGGGATGATCGGAGTAGTCAGGTCTTTGGATGTCACTTGGCACAGGCCTCATAGGAGTCTACACAATGAGGGAAGAAGAGGGCAGAATTTTTAATTTAGTTTATTAAACAATATGATTCAACAACATCTGCATCACACTCATTAATCTGACTTAAACCCTCTTTAGCGCGGTAACATTAAAAAAATAAATAAATAAGGAAAACAAGCATCTCTGGATTAATTAAACCTTTTTATTTGGTATATCTTTTGATAAAATGATTCTATTTATTTTAACAGTTCCTGTCTTGCACAAAGGTTATGAGCAAACACCACCATATCCGGGAAGAGATTTTGTTCCCTCTGGTGCTTGTTGAACTGAGGCAACAAACATTAAGAATATGTTAAGTTATTTGAGTTTTTTGATTGACAAGAGCTTACCAGGGGGTAGTAAGGGCGTAGTTTTCCAGTGTAACGGTAGCCCGGCCATGGGTCTGTGTTGATGTCCTTCTCCACACAGTTCTTGGATTCATTCTGGTTCTGGTCCTCTTCTAAAAAATAAACAGATCATCTCTAAAGCATTGAGCACCATGCTGATGGTAAACAGTAATGGGTATAATCTAACAGGCTGCAGTGGCACATTGTCTCTAGGTTGGTGTTGGATTCTAAAGGCACAACTTTTCATTCAATACTGTTGACAAAATAACATGACTTAATGATATACTTTGAACGATTCAAGCCCATAAAAACACAGAGCTGACAGTGATCCGTATTACATACTTGCTTTTTTGTGCAGCAACTTGTGAGACACCCAGCTCCCTTTGAAACATTCCTGAAAATAAAAACACACAAAATCAATGTAAACAAGGATACAAACTGACTCTCAGAAATGTATTATAATCAAAGCACATTTAGTCAAAAGAACAATTACTTTATGTTAGATCAATGACTTTGTGCTGATGCATGGCCCATTGTAACCTAAATTAAAGGATGAGCTGGATCTACAGAACAGAGAGGTCTCTGCATGTATCACTTAAACATGTATTTGAAAATGAATGGCCTTTGTGAATCAATTCAACAGAGAGCAACAAGGAATATAAACACCAGTGCCAGGTTGCAGAGGTGCTGCTTATCAACAGACAAGGCAGGCAACTGCTTGGGGCCCCAAGCCATTAGGCAGTACGAAACCTTCCTAAGAGGGCCCCCTTAGTTTTTAAATTAAAGTCACAGAAGGAAAACGAAAGAGTAATCTGTCTGGGAGTTACCAAAATAGACAGGGTCTCTGCCTATGCCATTTTTACTGTAACGTTTACTGTGTCAGGATACTTATAACATAATGCTGATGAAAGCTGGTTGGAGGGGCCCCCTATGAATTTCTTTGCCTAGGGCCCCAAAAGGCCCTCTGATCACCACTGCCATGTTGCAAAGCTAAGACTGCAATTGGAACCTGTAGGCTCTAATATGGCCAAAGTTATTTATACATTCATGCAAAACAGAGCTCCCCATGACACAAACATGACTGTGGATTAATGTTAAGGACCTACAATTGCAGACCCAATGTACTCTCTACTAAAAGATAAAAAAGCCAGACTTTAAAACCCTTTAAAAGAGTTAATGAACTCTAACGTCACTTAACTTAACGTAACTTTTTACAAGCACCATAACTATTTCAGGAAAGTATATTTCTTTTATTAAGTGTCTGTCAAAGTTGTCATGCTGTTATACAAAATTCTGCTCGGCTTATTAACCAGTTATATTAATAATTTAAAAGGCTGCATTCAGTCAAGTATGAGGTCTTGTTGGAATGAATGAATGAAATGCAGATAACAGATTCATAAGGGGGGCTAGGTCAGGTTTAAGAAGGCCCATGACGAGGGTAAAAGTCAAGAGATCAAACATGCAGCATCAACTCTTCTTTTATCAATAATTTAAACTGAATTATCATTACTTGCATCCTTTTGCATCACAGGTTACCTGCTGCACACAAGAAGTTCAACATTACAAGAACAAAAGATAAACGCTGACAGGATATTTTAACACCTAGTCAATTCAAACGAGCAGGGACGATGAATTTCACTCGAGCAAACCTGCGAATAGCTTGGCTAAAGCTAGCAAAGCGTTTTATCTGGGCTTTGTGTTCGGGGGATAGCTTCTATTACAGTCACCGATGACATTATTTATCCTCGGCAATCTGTGTACTTTCACAAAAGTGTACCGCATTACTTTCCATGAAGTATTGGTGTTATAACGGTTAACCAAGCACCCACACATGTCTAGCTAGCTTGACAGCTAGCAGCCGCGGGATGAAACGCCGGGCCCCGGTTTGTTGCTACAGCCCACTCTGAAACTGGACAAGGCGAGAAAGCAACAGTACCTGTGAACAGAAGTATGAGCCTTGAATACCAAGCTTGATACAGGTAGGGCACTGGAGTTTAGCGTCCTTGCTGCAGCCCTCTGTCTCACACTCTCTTCTAGCCTCGGTGCTCGCCATGCCTTCGTCTGCAGGAGGGGTGGAGTCGCAGCGCAACCAGCCAGCCAGTGACGGCACACTGCGCATGTCCGCAGCCGGGCCGTCACGTGTGACTTTCTGATCCAATCAACAGAGACTTTCCTTACACAGATTTGTAAGATGGCGACCGCCGAACCGGTGAGCACTTTCTTTAAAGAAAATATTAGAATAAGTGTGAGGCTATTGGTTGTTATTACAGGGACAGATCACATTCAAAGTTAATGCTCAACTCTTATTTATAGTCGTTTAAAGTAAAAAGATGGTTGTTACAATCACACGTGCTGTCCTGACTCGTGCCACGACCTAGGCTTCTAAGAGGAGAGTTCGTGAGTGCTCCAAACTTTAAGGCTGACGTCATGGCTAGCCGACGTGCCATTCACCTTTATGGTGGTGAGACCTACTATAAGTCCCATTACAATATTAAACGCTTTCCCGGAGCTATGCGTTTCTACAAAGCCCGAGAAATTGTTATTAAGGACATATTTGATTGTTATGACATACTAGTAAATTTGACGTGTACATTACTACCTAATATACAAATTACCCTTCAGAAGTTACTATTTTAACCTGCTGACCTCAACCATTACTTTGTGACTCGTGTCGACGTTCATTTAGCAAAAGTTTGATGTAAAGAAAGCTCCAGGGTCAATGTTGAAAGTATCTCTTATTAACATGATTTGATATGTTTAATTGAAGAGAGGGTATAAACTGTTTGAAATGTTTGACCAAATATAGATTAAATCGCGTGATGTTTATTTGCGTACAATAACGAACATATCTGGCACTCATACAAACATTTCTTTATAGTGAAGCCAAAACGTGATAATGGTGATAATGGTGATAATGCTTCGTGTTACCAGTAGAGGGTCATGTGTGCAAGAAGTGAAAGTAACTGAAGTGTAACAGATGTTTATTTCAACTTTCACCAGTGAACGCATCACGCTACGTAAAATAGTATATAAAAAAAAATTACAATTTATTCATGACATTTCTTAATTGTCTGAGAATCGAAATAAACAAGTTTTTCGACGGTTTTTTCTTCTTAACATTGACTTGTGTTTTATTACACAACTATCCAGCTGTCATGGCTGACGGGTACGTCTGTGCGTTGAGTGGACGTCGTATTAATGTTTCAGGACGTTTTCCTCTGCTCAAGTAGGCTAATAGTAATTACCGTACTTGGACTTTATTAAAAATACTCCTATTCTGTGCCCCTTGTGTGTTTCTTACGGCTTTTTTAGGAAAGCAACCCAAGTCCAACCCAGACTGATGAGGACGGAGCTGAGGAGTGTGGACAGGAGATTGTAAGCCCTGAGGCCTACATCAAACATCCCCTCCAGAACAAGTACGGTTATAACACAGGAATTAAAAACAGATATTTCAGGGGTCAGTGTAAGGATAAGAAAATAGGGAATTTCTGAACACATTTTTCAACTTTTCATAGACCAACAGGTAATCTATTTTTTTTAGGAAAGAGAATACCAGTAATGAAATTCTATTTTGTTGTTTTGGTAATTATTTGACATTTCTATTTAGTGCCATTTATTCAGTACTTTTCTTTTACTTATCAGCTGCCGGTTGACAGGTAATGTGTTGGTTTGCCAATTCAAATAAGGTTTTATCTGACAAATGTTGGGGTTACATGACTTCAAGGCTGTCAAGCTGTAGGGTTATAACGTCTTTAATACTAATGTTTTCTTGTTGTCATCAGGGTTAGGGTTAGAAAAAAATGTAGATACTTAAGTTACTTGTCACACAGTTGTTTGAATGAAAGGCATAGTTCACAAACTGAATGACCTTTCCTCCAAACATCTGAATGGCAGCAGTGAAAAGGAGTAGAGTGTTCAACAAAAACAATGAATGCTTTGTTTACCAGGAGGAAGCTGAGCAATTAACTAAGACACGGTACAAAGTAAAAACATCTTTTTGAAACTCTTTACTCCATAAATCAACATGTTTGCCTGATATAAAATTGTGGAACTTTGGAACGGACTGAAATTAATACTGTTTCCTCTATTTGACAGCACACTGCTGAAACAGCCTTTTTATACACTTTCCGTGGAGACCATTGTTGATGGGTGATTTGACTGTTAATAAAAGCAGGAATATATTTGTGTTAATCAAAAACAAGTACAGTATAAAATCACCAAAGAGAGAAGAGGTGCTGCTTGGTCCACAGCGGGTGACAAAATGTACCCAACTCCAAAGTTCCTGACCGGAGCTTTAAGCATGAAGATTATTTGAAAAAAGAGAACTATTTACATTACATACAACATTATGATGGAGGGATGCATTTTGATAATATCTTAAATCATAGGCTTCTTCAAGCTATACTTAATCAATATCTGAGACTGTAGTAAATATGATTATTTATGTTTCAGTAGACAGTGACTCAGTGGTGAGGATTAACTTGTTTGTTTTTATGTTCTTCCAATCTTTAAGTGGATTTGTTTTCCTCACAGTCCAAACAAATGCAGTCTGATGGATTGGAGACTTTATTTCCCCACAGTGAGACTGTGATTGTCTGTGATGGTCTGTTGACCTGTCCAGGGTGTTTCAGTGTTTTCTTTCAGTCCATACTCAGATAGGTTCCCACTCTCTTCTGTGCTGAATACAAATATGCAACAATTGAATATTTTCTGTATATTTAAATTCCACAAGGATATTTGTCTCTGCAAGGGTCAAATATAAAGTCCAAACAGAAAGCCAGTCAGCTAAGAGGAAAAGTAAGCTCTTCTCTGCAGCTCCACAGCTCAGTTGTGAGGTTTGCAAAACTTGGATTGGAGTAAATAGCTGTTAATTAAAGTAGTGCACAATAAGTGGATTTTATGTTTTAATGTAGTTGTCAATACATATGGTATTCCAAGCATGGTTTTTCACGTTACTTATTAAGTAATGTAAGTTAAGTTATTTAGCCTTCAATCAAAAAATGATCCAAGACCTGCCTGATTCCATGCAAGGTAATTGTGTGAGCATGCATGAGCAAACCATTTTTTTTAACCCTGCAGGGAAAAGATTCACTTCAGTCAACTGGCCACTGCAAGTTCAACTCAATCTGACAGATGGCATCAGCTTTTAAAGTCTTCACTGGCTCGTTTTAGAAAACAAGGCACATCACCTGTTCTAACAGGCAGTCAGCTGGTAAAGTCAGTTACAAACTGTCAGCTGTTTAGATTCACTGTGCACAAATACTCACCCCTGTGTAATGGGATATATCATAAAAACGGTGTATTATAGCATGATCGTAGGCTATTTACTGTGTTGTGCTGCTGAGATATGCTGTTTTAATCAGCTAGTTTTTATTTTGTTATGATATTCTTTTCATCAGTACCTTGAATGCAAGTATGGAAGTAACTCACAGGCCCTATCCTCATTCATTTTTAAAGACATTTTATTTTTAGTTGCAAAAAAGTCGTCTAAAGTAGGCAGTTAGAGGAAAGGAGAGAGTCTAAGCAGACAAAGCACTTTTTTGTCTGGACACATTAGTGTCAACTGTCAGAAACTTTAGACCTGCACCTTGCAAGTAGTTGCAAGTTTCAGACGTTCAGATCATGAGTAGGGTAGGGAGCCTTCCCAAGGTTTCATGGGACTAATCGGACAAAACACCGGTGTAGGGGGGTTCCCACTTGACAACCCCCGGTGATGTCCTGAATCTTACTGCCCATTGGTGTACATGGTGGAGATGTGGAGGCCAGAAGGGGACATGTGGTAGGGTAGGTAGTATTGGCGTTGATAATACCTGGAGCTCGCATCAACGGCGCCTGGGTCTGTTGGAGGTGGCCATGCTGTTTTGGTTGCAGGGGCGAATGGGGCCATGGGGTATGTTATGTAACTTATCTGTAAGGATTATAGAGACATCATTGGGATGAGTTGTGTCTTCACTGAGGGCTAATTATCCTTTCATTAGGGCTGAAGTACCTTCTGTTTATTTCAATTCTGAACTTGGCAGGCTTGATGAAATATGAATATATAATATGTGCTGCCCCAAATATGGCCTTGAATCAAACATTCAATTATATTTGAACACAAGTTAATAAGGGATACACACAGTTTTATTATCAAGTATTCTTTGTTGTTGACTGTGATGGAACTGATGGACAAGCTGCTTTATTGGCTCTGTAATAGTGTCAGCCCATTCTAGAGAGCTTAAGAGGGTGGCTGAGTCAAAAGAAAACTCGGTTTCAAACTAGTTTCCAAAAACCTAATGGATTGCACCATGACATCAATAGCCTGATTTACCGAGTGGTTTGTGAAGGCAGTCACACGCCGCTTGTTTGCGCCTAAGCTCTATGGCGTTTATTACGTTTATTTATGTTACATGTATGCATACCCTATTCTGTTTCTTTTGTCCAACAGATGGTCCCTGTGGTTCTTCAAGAATGACAAGAGCAAAACATGGCAGGCCAACCTGCAAATCATCTCTAAATTTGACACTGTTGAAGATTTCTGGGCGTAAGAGCAATACATCTCTGCGTTTTCCCCCGTTCCTCCAAAACCCCAAACCATGAAATGTTAAAACAGGAGGTAGGACAACTCATTGACATGTTTTGTCTTTCCTCATTTCAGTCTCTACAACCACATCCAGTTATCAAGCAACCTCATGTCAGGCTGTGATTACTCCCTATTTAAGGTAAGTCTGAATTATCATTCATATGCAGAGAGTGAGGAGTTTGAAAACAGTCTCAACATTTTAGGATAGGATAGGATAATACTTTATTGATCCCCAGAGGGGAAATTTGGGCGTTGCAGCAGCACAGACAAGTAGCTCAAAATACAAAATACACATTAAACAGAATAGATTAGATAAGAGAAATAAAAATAGGGGGTATATACAAGTTCAAAATGAATGATGAAGTTAACTATGCATGGAATTGAGACAGTATTTGCAGAGAATGGCAAGATAATTTCATCCCAATGTCCACATCAGCAGTATGTAGAAGAACATCGATGTTTTCATTTACTTCACTTCTAAATCAATATGAATAAGAAATGTCATAAAACATCTTTATCCCAATTTAGAGGATCACATTGTGATACCTGTATCATCGTGAGATGCTTCACTTATTCTCCAAGGCCGGAGTCTCGGGGCAGGAGGCCTGACAATATGACAGTTGATATCATTTACACTTGAAGCAGTAAAAGTTATTTAATGCAACTACTCCGAGTCCATTCTCAAAATTAGAAATGCTTGTGAGAATACTCGGCAATAAAACGAGAATGTATCAATAACTGTTTTTATTACCACTCTACCAATTTAGCTAAATTGGAAGATTTTTATGAAGACAGAATCAAATAAATACCCCAAAAAATGAACAGTACCCAACTGAATTATCAACACAAGCAGGAAACATAATCATTATGGACACTAGTGGGAGAAAAGAAAATCTGTCTACCCAACCCAGAGCTGTGTAAACAAGATGTGAACTACTTGTACTCTTGTATTCACTGAAGGGGTATTAGTTCATCAGTGCTTGTACAATTAAAGTTTTATAACATTTAAAGTTCATATCTAGTTTTTGAAATGCTCTGCTATGTAAGTTTTAACATATTAACAGAGTTAGTATAGAAGAGCAGATTAGTACTTAAAGGTGCACTATGTCGTTTTGGGAAATTTCAAAGTTGGAGAAGTGTACAGATTCTGTGGTATATGTTCATAACTCCATACACAAACTGTCCTCAGAGGAACATTTGGTCCCTGGAACACTGAAGATAAAATGCTATATGAGAAGTTATGGTGGGGGGCCCTCAACAGTGAAACCATAACTCTCCAGGTAGCTTTTTAGCTCCAAACAGTGTTCCAGGGATCCATTTGTTCTTTGAATAAAGTTTGTGTTTTCAGTTCAGAAAATATAGAATAGAAATGTTTAACATCTCCAACTTTCCCATTTCACCACCAAAACTCCACAGTCCACCTTTAAGAGAAAGATTGTGACCCAATTATACAGCCGTCACCTGGCCCTTGTTGAGTTACCATCATTCCAGCTGCTAACCCTCTGATGAGGTTTAAGATTTTTCTGATGTTATCATCGCAGAGTTTGGAAAAGCTGCTTTTTTCTTGAAGGCAATGTTAAATCATGCTGAAACCTCACTTTTAAAGGGTATTTAAAGTTTTGCTGCAGTAGTTTGGGATGTGTATTGACAATTTGAACTATCGCTTCAGGACGGCATTGAACCCATGTGGGAGGATGAGAGGAACAAGCGTGGCGGCCGCTGGCTGCTCACACTCAACAAGCAGCAGAGAAGATTAGACCTGGACCGTTTCTGGCTGGAAACTGTAAGTTTGACTGCTCTGTGTCCTGTTAAATGTTGTCACTGGAATGAGTGATTCTATTAATCATTTCTTCAGCCTCTCCCCAAAGCAGGACATTTATTACCTGCTGGCAGCCATAATTAGTTGTACCACTCGATCATTACACTTGTCACACCGCCGATATGCGTCATGATGACACATTTTCATCCCTTTGCAAGTGCAACATGGTGGTTTGTTCTTTTGCTGACTTCATCTGCACAATAAAATATTCTTTGATATCATACATGATTGTATGCTGAGCTGATGGGGACTACTCACAACACCTTGAGATAAGAGCATCTGAACACTGGTTAGATGTGGAGTCTGAAGTCCACAAAGTGTTCTGGGGAGCTGCTTTAAAGGTCACAGACAGGAACACAGACGTCCCGTAAGCCATGACTCGTCAGTTACCAAACAGCTCTGACTATATTGTCAAAATTGTATCCAATGCTGTTTGTGGGCTTAAACCACTCACTGCTTCCTTTCAGCATATTCAAAGCTGGAAACAACAGATTCAATGATTATGGGCAGTTTCAAAAACAATAGTTATTGTTGTTGTTGTTGTTGAAGTTTTGCTTAGATTAAAATGTAGCTCTGGTCCTGTGCCTGCATGGATATCTGCATCATTTGGAACATGTCAGTGACCGCCGTTTTCAAATGGTAAATCTTCTTGAGCTTGTGCAGCGCTTTTTACCCTTCTGACAACTCAAAGCACGTTTTAGGTCACACCTACCCACACACTGATGGCAGAGGCTGCTATGTAAAAGTATCCATCAGTACATTCATACATATTCATCAAAGCTGACGTAGCAGCACGAGCAATTTGGGGTTAGGTGTCTTGCCCACGGACACATCTGACATGTGGCTGCAGGAGCTGGGGATCGAACCCCTGACCTTCCGGTTGAGAGACGTAGAAACGCCACCATGCCCAAAAATGTTTAATAGATAGAAGGGAAGTCTTTGTAACAACCTGAGCTTTGGACATGTGGGGCAGGAGGTTGGGGTCCTGCCACTGCTGTATTGTAATACTTCTTCTGGCCACAGATGGCAGCACCTTAGCATGCGAGCAAGCGAGGAGTCCTGCAAAATCTTTTCGTTTTACTATGTTCGTTTTCACAAAAAATATTTAGCTATCACCATAGCAAGGTTGTTATTTTACAGACTCTCAATGGCATTTCTGCCAAGTTGAAGTTTGATTACCGTATTTTCCGCACTATAAAGCGCACCGGATTATAAGGCGCACCTTCAATGAATGGCCTATTTTAGAACTGTTTTCATATATAGGGCGCACCGGATTATAAGGCGCATAGAATAGAACGTGTTTACAACTGAACAAGGCTGGGAGATATTGTGAATATATAAATATAAATACGTATAAAACGTAACGTATAAAACTACAAAAACAAAAGTACATAAGACGATTTCCCCAAATAATAAATTATTTCTTTGACGTTTCTCTTAACTCTCAAAACGTAGTTTTATACGTAGTGCATTCACAATAACTCAACGTTGTTCAAACGTTAATGTGCATATTCACAATATCTCCCAGCCTTGTTCAGTTGTAAACACGTAAAAGAAACACAGTCTGATACCGCTAATTCAAACGTTAGTGCAGGGGTGCCCAAACAGTCGATCGCGATCGACAGGTAGATCGCTGACTGATTCTCAGTCGATCGCGAGATGTTTTGTCAATATAAAATACAATTGTAAAATAGAAAAGTGATTTCAATTTCATCTCATTGCACTGTTTCCCACACACGATACCTGTGTTGGGAGCCCAAGTATACTTCCGAGCTGTTTGTATTTAATTTTTCATTTATTCATGAAATTGCTGCGTGCATGAGAGAGCGAGCGAGAGAGCGAGCGGGGGAGCGAGAGAGAGAGAGAGCGCGCGCAAGAGAGAGTGCAGGCATGCGCATCCCCGGTGCAGGTAAAACCGGGGGGGTAAATGTTTTACCAAAAAGTCATATATAGAAACTATGCTACGAGTATTGAGCGCATTTGATGAAGCTGCAGCTACTTTTCTCTGCTCCTCTCTGCTGTCATGACTGTGAGCATCGCGGGGGACGAGACACACCAACAAACAGCGCAAACGCACACGCACACGCACACACACACACACACACACACTTGCACTGGAGCGCCAGCCACCACGCGAACCTTTTTACTTTTTACTTTTAGTGCTACAGCACACAGTTGATCCGTGATCCGTACGGACCGAGGTGGGAACACACGTGACCCGGTCAAACAGTCGTTTGGACTTTACTCCGTTCACTCTCACCGTGTCTGCAGCTAATTTAACAAAAGCAAAATCATCTCACAGCAGCCTGCTGTAGTCTGTAGTCTGCATTATTTTTTACAGAACTCTCATTTATTATTTTCTGTTTGTTGTGTGAGTATTAAATGCGTTTGTAGGCTGTTGGTAAAGGCTATGGCTCACTATGTGGACTGGTAGATCTCGGCAGACTGGTAACTTTAAAAGTAGATCTTGGTTCAAAAAAGGTTGGGCACCCCTGCGTTAGTGCATAACTCAACATTGTTCAGTTACGTATAACACGTAAAGCTCACTTTTTCAGTTCATTCCCCGTCCACGAATCCCTCGAATTCTTCTTCTTCAGTGTCCGAATTGAACAGTTGGGCGAGTACGGCATCCAACATGCCCGGCTCCCTCTCGTCATTATCCGAGTCAGTGTCGCTGAGCGCCGTGTACAACCAGTATGGATCAACCAATTAACCAACTGATCCATATATAAGGCGCTCCGGATTATAAGACGCACTGTCGTTTTTTGAGAAAATTAAAGGCTTTTAAGTGCGCCTTATAGTGCGGAAAATACGGTTTAAGATTTACAATTTGTATTCCCGGCATTCATCACAAACACATCTGATTACCAATATATGTGTATTTATATATTTATATTTCAAAGTTAAATATCAATACACAGTAATTCATAGTTTACAGTCCAGGACTCTGACTCATATTGTCATGTCTAGTCTAGGCTGAAGATGACATGCTGATTAGCTTAGTGACATTCAGCCATCCATCCATGGTTGTACCAAGAAAAAAACAATTAAATAATTGACATTATCAGAATGCCATATTGGGAATGTATTACCCTGGGGCTAATAGGACTTTGGATAATTAGTCCTCACTATCTTTGTAGAAATATTGAGTAAAATACAATTCAAATATTGTAACACTTGTTTTCTTTGCCAGCTCCTGTGCTTAGTAGGAGAGGCCTTTGACAGCTACAGTGATGACATCTGTGGAGCTGTGGTCAACATCCGCACAAAAGGAGACAAAATTGCTGTCTGGACATCAGATTTTGAGAATCGGGAAGCTGTGACACACATAGGGTGAGGCTGGTTTCCCTCATGTTTACCTATATAAATACATGTTATGACACTCTGCATCTTCTTACCATGTTATGCTGTCAACAGGCGAGTTTACAAAGAACGCTTGGGGCTTCCCATTAAGATGACTATTGGCTACCAATCTCACACGGACACGGCTACCAAGAGCGGTTCAACCACCAAGAACAAATTTGTTGTTTGAGAAATACCCTAAGTGCCTCTTTCATTTTCTTGTCTTATTTGTTGTTGGTGCATATGTTTACTTTCCTGCGAAGACTCTGCGCAACGCAATCTTGAGAAAAAAAACCCAACCCCAGACTATACGTGCCAAATGTTTCCATAACCTGCCCAGGACCTAAAGTACAGGAAAAACCCCATGGATAACAGATGAATGTGAACAAAACACTAGCAATGAGAGGTATTAATAGTGAAGAGATTTAGAGTGTGCAATACTCTACTACAGAAATTTGTATTGATTTTTATTTTAATTCAGGGAAACCTGAAAAGCGAGAAAAGCAATGTACATTTCTCTACTGTGTTCAACAGCATTATTGGTTTTCTGTAATCTTTAATAACATGAAACACTTTTAATTTATTTTTAATTTTTCCTGCAAATGATTAGATTGTTAGACTTTTGTTTTATGCCTTTTTTTTGCCTTGAACTGTTGCACGTAATCAACCTTTTTAAAGTATTTCATGACATATTCATTTGAGTGTTAATATAATTAAAAACATTGGTTTTGCAATTATAACTGGTTAAAGTGTGTCATTTACTTTGTAAGCTGTAGTTGGTATATTTGAGTCGAGTTGGGCTGTAGATACAAACATTTTAGTTACTACAGCAGAGCGTCCAGGAATATTCTGTAGATGGTTAGCGTTCCTATGTATAAAGAAAACAATCACAGGAAACAGTAACCTTCATCTCCCAAGTGGCTGAGGGGGTTACAGTTCCCCATAGCTGGTATGACATCTTCCAAATTCATACCCTCCAACCCACATACCCTAATCCTGAGGTTCCTTAAAATGTCAGTATAAGAACATGAAAAAACAAAAAGCTTACTTTGGGCAACATGGCTTCCCATCACGGCTCATTTCCACCTTTAAAAATGTCACTTCCACATGACAAATGTCATCGTGTTCTCAAGGATTGGCATTCTTTAAGCCAGCAGGCAAAGCATCTCCAAATAGATCCTTCTTGAGCTGATGAAGCGTACAGTGACTAAGAACTTTAATTGGTCCTTGTTGAAGTGGTGTGTAACCTTTAAAGGACAGATTATTTATCATGTAAGATGCTTTGAAAGCACACGTAGATTCTAGACGTGAACTAGCTCACCGTTTTAGAGTTAACATCTCAAACTACACTGCAGACCTACAAAATAAAAGCACAACAAATAAATAAAGATTGGGTATGTCAGGGGTTCTTAAACACAACAGCTTCATCAAATACTAAACTAAAACTTCATTGTGTATAATCCATCAGAACTGATGTTGATGCTGTTATGAAGATGAAAAGCTAAGAGACAGTAGATACCTTATGACATGAATGATTTAATCACCAAATAGCCAACAGTATAAGTGTTTAAAAAGTGCCTAAGTTAAATGAATACAAATGAACAGGGGCATAAACATAACTATACTCGCCTGGAGGACTGTAGCTTCTGCTCATAAGCCCCTACTCCATCTATTTTGAATAGAATTGAACCAGTGTGTGCTGACAGGTGTACACAAGGCCACTGACATGGACACTTTATAAAATGAGGCTACAAACCGACCTTGGCGGAAATGAACGCAATCAATGTGGTAAATTGAATTGAGCAGAGTTTTGCGGTCTCTAGTTGGCAAAAGAAGCCGCAAAGCCTTCTTGTTTTCCAATCGGAGGCACTTATCAAAATCCCAAAGCCTCTGATGTGAGACTTCGGGTCACATCAATTGGACAGAATGACATAATCCAGGAGGGGAAATACAAAATGATGGCTTGAAACACACTAGACTTCCCAAAGTAGAAAGATTCCCTCAGTTATCAGTTTGTATAACTGACTGAATCAAGCAGAAAAGCACAAAGCTTCAAGACATAAAATGTTATTACTCTGGAATGTTTATCCAACTGACTTGTTTTTAGGCTGCACTGGGTATTTCTAATGATGCCTTGGCCCACGGCAGGTTTTTAATAGGTAATAATTCCACTTCTGTCCATCACTTTACACTGGAGGGAGCTGCAACCCTATTTAACTTAAAAGTGGTGTTAGTAAGGCCAGCAGGCAGTACAGGGATAGATTTGTTTACAGCCCTGAGTCTGCATCCTGCAGGCTTTCATCTTAAAAGGCAGTGATTTAGAGGCTCAGTGTTCTGCGGATTACATTGTGGTCTTGTCTGTCTGTCTGGGTGTTTCTTATATCTGGGGCTTAGATGATGGCAACTCACAATTCAGAGGAAAGGAAATTAACTTTGGCAGTAACACCAGCTGAAAAATATATTGTTTGTGTGCTGAGGTGAAGAGGGAATTTCAGACAATCAGGAAAAGCATAAAACATCATTTAGAGACCCCTTTTGTGTGTTGCTATGACTACAAGTATGTTACATAGAAGTCATGTGTTGAAACAGCTTATTCTAGTGAGATTAAATATTTAACATCAAAGAAATGTATGTGGCATATTGAGTATGTTGACATTAGCTATAATTAGGACATTACATAGCACAGCTAAAGCCACTCCACTTGTGAAGCTCAATGCTTTAGCACCTCACCATTCACTAGATGGATAATCAATTTCCCCAGGGTCCCTTCTGGCACTCATTTCTATCCCTATAGTATCAGAATCAATGGTGGGATTTGTTACCCCAGATTAAATGAATGAAGAGGGTAATCAGAGAGGTAGTCAGACTACTTTGTGGTCTTGTGATCAAGAAGTCTAGGATTACATTTAAAACCTGAACACATATATACACATACGTATAACCACCCTGGAGACACATATGACTGCAGAACAGGAAACAGACATTGTACACAAAGTGGAGTTTTCAGTATTGAGCAAAGCTCCCTTAACACCTGTCTGGGCTAGTCAACTTAAAAAACACAGCATCTCCCTGGGGTATAGCTTCACATTGCTGGATCCCCTACGCCATGTAGAATTGATTTTAACATTTTATCGATCACCTTTGAGGCCCTTAACTTTCATCCTTCTGTCTGTTAGATCCTGCAGGAGCTAATAGGGCTTTCTGGTCCTTTGAGGACATTTCTGAGTCAGGGTCTGCTTTAACACTGTAACAATAACTGAACAATAAATAAGAATTCTTTGTTGCTGAAAGTTAGATGAAATTAATGATGGTTCCACTCTTTGGATTATAGGCTGCATGAAATTATAGGCAGGGGAAGTTAGTTTAGCACAAAGATGAAACAGTGGGAAAACTAACCTGCATGGCTGTGTCCAGAGCTGACAAAATATATGCCAACTAGTACCTCTAATAACACACTGAATATTATTTGTTTTACACACACAAACAGCATGCTAAATTGTAGATTATCATGTTTTTTAGGGACGTATAGCTTTGGATTTTTGCATTGAGTAAAGATATGGCCTCTGTTTCTTCATATAAAGGACAAATATGAAAGTGATCTTGATCTTCTCATTAAACTCTCAACAAAACTGTAATAAGAGCAATTTCCCAAAAATCTGCTTTGTTGCATGGTCATTTGTCATGTTTTAAAAACCCCTTTGCCCTTTTCATTCGTTTCCTAATTGAAAAACTGACATTTAGTATGCATTTTGTTAATTTGCTTAGTGATTTGTTTCTTTAATACACTGATTCTCAACCAAGTCCCCATGGCATACAGTCTCTTACCAGGTGGTAATTGCAGTTAATTACATTTACCTTGCATTGCAGGGTTCAATTAGATGGCTATAGCAAAAACCAGCAGGGCTGTGAAATGCCACAATGGAAAACCCACAGCGTGGAAAAGAAAGCTAGGAAAGAATCTCAAAAGCTTCTTGCTGCTAAAAGAATTGGGTCAGTCAATGAGTCTGAGCACTTTGGAAACAGCTTGAAGATTTCCAATCAATAGAATTAGCTTCTCATTAATTTGTGCTGTGCAGTCATTTGAGAGCATCGTGAGGTCATAACTGTCAGGGTTCATAAAACTGGAGATAATTAGCATAACCTTGTGTGGTGTTTCATGGTATCTGCATATGAACTTCTATTAAATTGGCTGGTTAAGAAGCCCGCTATGCACTCCCCACATCTCTCATATGTGACAAATGAGCAAGAGGCATCCTGTAGACATATTAAATTAGCTGTCTCTGTTTGTTCAGTGAGGTGAATAATATCCTGACGTATACCGTACCAACATGTTGTTATGTTTCACTCACAATCCAAGGGCAGGGTAAAAAAATTGTGAATGCCTTAACTGATAGTGATTTATTGGCGAGAGAAAAAAACATCACTTAATTTAAAATAATAGGGTTGAATGTTGTACATGATATGAAAAATCTGCTTTAAGATCACTTTTTACAAAGTTACTTCAACTACTTTCTGTGCTGAGGAAGACCTCCAGATTTTCATTAGGCAAGGACTTATGGCTGCATTAATTAAAGAGGACATATTATCCCCCTTCTCCACCTTTTCAAACAGTTCTCTGTGGTCTAAATGAAACATCTGTTCTGTGCTTCAAAATATAACATGAATCAAGCACCAGAGGAGGTTTGTGACCCTGTATAAACCAGCTCTCTCAGAACGCTACATTTTGGTGTGTGTGTCTCTTTAAATTCAATGAGCCCCCCCCCCCTCAACCCGTGGGGTGTGCAGACCTGTACCGACACAGATTCAGTTTTGAGCTTCCATGGCAACTCGTCAGCGTGCCCCCTGGGAAAAACATGGCTGCCGGAGACAACCCAGGAGGGGAGGGGATTTGTTTTTACCAGAATCCCACTATGACATCACAAGGAGAGCACATTTGTGACAGAGCATTTTTCTCTGTGTTGTAAGACTTATGCAGACCACAAATAAAGGACTGGATGGGTTTATTTCACATTTTGTGGGTCAGTAGACACTCAGGTTACCCAGATAAATGTTCAAAAACACTGTAGAAGTGGATTTTTCATAATATGTCCCGCTTAAATTTTGAAAATTTTGGCCACTTAATATTTACAAATCATGATCAACTTTCACACATTTTTGCCTGATAAGGTTTCTGTGGAGAATGTATTAGCAAACTTTGTCCATTTTACACAATACAAACAAGAAAAGTAAATCATTAAATACAGAGCTTCCTATCCCAACCATGGCCGGCTGACTCTACACACTATAAAAGTTGTTTAATTGAGGGACTAGAGAAAAGAAGAATAACATACTGTACTCACTGCTTAACTGTGTTTCTAGATCACGCTCATTTCAGGTAAATTTACATGCTGTGTGAAGATACGAGCATAATAAAGATCACTAGCATTAGCATGCTAACACAACAATGCAGCACGAGTTGTTATGGTTTCATGCTGGTGCTCAAGGGCGACATCTGCTGGATCAAAAAAATCACATATTAAAAAATAGACAAGCAATAGATATGTTTTAGAGAACAGTCAATAATGTTTAGGTCTTTGAATCATAACTTCAATGACTTCATAACTAACTAATGGGAGCAGGACTCCATCTTATTTTCTTTCATACTTTAGATAATTAATACAAGACAGAATAGTAAAATGAGCCTATTAAAATGAGGTCCAAGAGCCAGCTCTTATGCTGGGCTTTGCCAATGATCTGACTC